TGACAAGAGGGTTTTTGCGAACAAGTTGTTGCGACTTCTAACGCGACTATCCGAATGGAATTTCGAGGAATGAATTTTGTTCCGTGGAATATTCAATTGGATGTGATATTTCCGGACCATTGTTCGCCGGTATGAGTTTCTCCAAGTAAGTTGTGAGGGATTAAACGAAAATGTAGTGACATTCGCAATGTACTGAACGATAATACCTGTGAAAGAAATTCAATTCCATTGATAAGTATCTTTCGTGCAATTTTGTGTAACTGATCTAATTATTATTATTGAATTTTATTATTATTATTATTGAAAAATGTTTCCTTATGGTGTAATAAGATTTTTTATTTTCTAATATCTGTAATTAGGTAATACAACACGTCATGTTTTTCCTAATTTCACAATACATTGATTTTTAAGTTAATTCAATTATGAAAAATCATAAATATCTATGATACATATGAAAAAGAATAATGAAAAAAAGAGGTACTTTTTTAAAAAGAAATAATTTTTTCAAATTGGACCAAACCATTTGAATTTTTTTGAAAAAAAGAAAAAAATACTAGAATAATATTGCTATAAATTATAAACAATCGAAAATTTGTAATTTTTCACGACTTTCGATCCTAATTTTTTTTGTATGTTAATTCGATGAAACTTAGTTATATACATTTATTAAACATATTTTCATTATAGATTCAAATAATTCTTTCATAATTTCAAGCAACAGCAAAAACTCTTTTTAAAAACTCTTTTTTATAGATTATTTATATATTATATTAAACTGATCCTTTTATATGCCAAAAGTCTATGTTTTCAATTTTTTGTAATTTATGAATTAATTAGATAGGCAAAATATCCATATACCCAACACCACGTCGATCAAATATTAACTGCATTTATCACGTAACAATTTCACAATAAATAACGAAATTAATAATTGCTTAAGCCGCGACAAACACATATCAACTGCCTAAAATTGTTCAATACTTGCAATCTATTTCAGCTTGAATTGGCGCATTTTCATATTAAAACGTATAGTTAAATTTTTAAATTGTATTTCTATACAAAGGAATCCATAATAACAAACATAAGAGTATAGTGAGAAAAAATTCATATTCGACCAATAGAAAGATTGGTGGTAGTTTGCAAGATTGGAAAATGGGGCATTAAATTCATTAAATTACAAAGAGCGAAATGGAGGGAACACACAAACAGCTGGAATGATGCAATTATGATTAAAATTCTTCAAATTATTAGAAGAAGAAATAAATAGACGAATGTGAATAAATAAATTGGTTGAAGGATGAGAAATGAACGCAGTATACAACGTAAGAAAAGAAAAGAGACCATGAATTATATGTATAAAAGAAAGTTTTTCTTTTTCGACGTCTCCTTTCATTCCATGGATAAAATGGAAAGGAAGACGGATAAAGAGATGTCGTAACGCTGCATAAATTGTTATCATGCGCCACGATTTCAGTCTCGTTTCATTTCTTCTTTTTCGAACTTCTTGTTGATATTTTTCCTCATCAGTCTGACTTTTTAATATTCTTTCCGTTATTTCTCAGTTGAAATGAGAAACTGAACATTGCTTCAAAGTATAATATACTTTTTATATTTATTATTTGTATATATTTTTTGCAATAAATATGAAATCTGAGTTTTTGATATTATTTGATATTTAAGATACATTTTAAGTCTTTTTAAATGTTTCATATGAATTTTCATAATATGCATTATGAATTATTATAATAAGTTATAAATTATTATATACATTATAAATTATGAACAATGTTTGAAAAAAAAATTATATTAAAAAAGTGACCTTCAGTTTATCACAAAAATAATAGTTTTGAAATTTTTAAATTATCAAGCAAAACTAGAAAAGAAATAATTGGTAAATTGATAATAACAATCGGTGACAAAAAAATAATTTGAAAATATTAAATCCTATATAAATGTTAAATCGAAATCTTGAATTCATCCTCTAAAAACCGCGGATTAATTCAAATATATAGTCATGTGCTGCCACCTGTCGACAGGATTGCAGAATTCCTGATAATATTTTGTACAACGCACTCCAACTAGGATTAATCTTTTTTACATGACAATTGTCTTAATAAAATTATTTCATTTATACGAAACAATTTGAAAGATATTCTAATTATTCTATATTATATAAATCAATCGATCTTTGCTACTGTCACATCGCAATGAATGTTTTTAAAAACATATTTTACCTGATCACAGCAATAAACATATGTTAAAATCGACAATAAAATTTCGAATTATAAAATGAGATCCATCGTTATATTTCCGTCGTTACATCTACCTTATCAATCTATTTCAAAATCAACAAATCGCATAATTATTTTAATGAATTTAACGAGAACAATCTTCGTGGAAATTTAATTGCAATTACATCCATTTCTGATGGAGGATACGTTTATGAGCGCCACTTCTAACGTACCAGTATGCAAAACCAACGTCACCATGTATATTGCTTTATATATGAATAAATATCCTCTATCATACGTATGATATTTACATTTATATGCAAATAAAAACAATATAAAAAACAAGTAGTAATACATCACTTACCTCTCAGAAGTGACAGTGGAACCGGTGGATCTCGCAAATGTAAAAACCTGAAATTCTCACTTTGACACAAAACACGAACACTCTTTTTTTACACTCATTCTACACGAGAACCGTTCTACGACCGGAAATGCGACGCGTGATACAATAAAGCGGGACACGTAAACACTATTTCAAACCGGTAAAATCGAAAACGTCGAGAGCGTTTTTGATGCCACGAAGTCGCGTGCGCCATGGCGGTGCAGAACAGCTGTTCATAGGAGGGAGGGTCGTTATTAGGGTTGGAAAGGGTTTAGAAAGTATGTACGGCCATCTAACGACGAATATAGGAAACATTTGGCTTTAAAACATTAGAACCGGAAATCTATTCGAAGGCAAAGTTGAAATCTAGGATATTATATTATTAATTATTAATTAATTTTATTTTTCATTGATTATTTTTAAATTGGAACAAAATTAATTTCTTTTTTTATTTACTTTACAAAAATGTTGTATTTTAAATAAGTATTTAAAATTTAAAAAAGTAAATATTCATTTAAATTTTAATAAATAGATTTAAAAGTAAAAATTTATATTCTTATTGAATGGTTATCACGGGAAAAATTATAAAATATAGATCTTAAAATTCCTCTTAATTATTAATTAATTAGCTATTTGTATATCTAATATTTGGTTATACTATTGAAACAAAAATGTCATTTTCTTTTAAGAATAGTTACACTTTCCTAATATTCTAAACATGACAAGTTATTCAACAATGAAGGTTAATGTGTCTGTCAAATATATCCTTGCATGTTATCACGTGCAATCAATACAGTTTATTATACGAAGAATAACATTCTAAATGCGTACTGATAGACGTATTGACGCATATTAGAATTAGTTGCAAATTGGTTTTATTTTCAATAATTAAACTTGATTATTTAAAAAAAAGAAATAATTTAGATATTTGTAAATATAACACAATGTAATTTAACAATTTTAATAAAAAAAAAAGAAAGGAAAAATTATCTAACTAGCTATATTTATAAAAAATAAAAAAATTTACATAAATTTTTTAAATTTACTATTTTTGCAAATATGACAGAAGATACATTATTATATTGTTTTTAAAAAATTAATTATAAAATTAATAGATTAATTTAAAAATATATTGTATGTTTGTATTTGATACGTCTTCAGATACCTCTTCCGCGATTTGTTTTTTTATGCAGCACAATGCACCATACTGCATTCCATTCTGTTGTTTGTGCGATATTGTTACACATTACAATTAGATCTACTACGCGTCAATTTAATTTCAATCATTTTTATTATTCATAAGTTTCTTTTTTATTACTTCCTTTTAATTAATAAAACATTCATATTATATATGTATTTATAAACATATTCATAAATTATAATAATATTTAAATTATTATAATTATTGTTAATTATAATAATTTAAAGTTTTAGAAAAATAATAAAAAAATAAATAAAAAATCATTTTTCCTTATTCTTTTTAAATTTTCTTTCATTGGCTTAATATTAACTATGCTTAAAATTATATTTGTAAATATTAAAAAATGTTGGGCGACGATTGACATTAATACGTCACTGTATTTATACATTCTCATTCACTATGTCGTATTTACTACGCATACATCTCGTATACGTGCAGAAACATAGTCATACACATTTACATGCACATGAATGCGCGACCTTGTGTGCGCAACAGGCGTCAGGAACCAACTAGAGTCTATAAAGATTGTACGATGAAGTGTACAAGTGGTGTGTGTCTTCAGAACGACTGGCCAGTTTTTGCGACAGTGACGTACTTTTACTTTTACAAACCTTATCCTGTTCCAAATTTTTCTAAAACAATTAATGCTTGTAAATAATATTTATAAAATTAATCAAAAATAATTCCAAATCTGAAACATAAATAAGTATTAAACTTTGTTTTGATGTAAAAATACTTTATGACAAATACTTGTAACCAATTAATAAATTCATTTTTTTCTATTATATCAATTATGTTAAACATTGTATAATAAATATAATATTTTTTTATTATAAATATTATTATAATAAAATTTATAATAAAAATTAATCTAATTTGAATTATAATGTTAAACACAATATATAATTTTAAAAAAGTAAGGGAATTAATAATAATATGTTATATTGTAAATTACATTGTAAATAATGATATATTCTATTCAATAATGAAAATTATAAATCCGTTCTACCAATTTTTATATTTAATATATTATATTATCAATTTAAAATTTCTTTTTCATTCATAATTTAAATCAATTTTCCATCAAAATCGATATTTTATGAAATCAAATCTCTCATCGCATTATCGGTGCCCCTTAAACAACGCCTTCACTATACCCGTCCCTGCAGAGCCCGTTTGCCCCCTTATAAAGCGAACCCACGCGAGAGCGCGGGCCGCATACCACGGTAGCGCGTCGTTCGAAGTTTAAAGTTGACAATTCTACGTATAAAAATCTTTCGATTCTAAATAAACGCATGTCCATCTACGTTCCAACGAAAAATTTCTACGATATTCGATTACATCGTTCCATCTTAAAGCGCGATGCGCAGTAAACTCGAGGAGATCGAGCCGCATGGCGACATCGTGTATAACCAGTGAAAGACACGCAATATTTATCCCGCTATATGTTTATGTTTATTCACCTTTGTGGTTATGGAAACAGTGATCAGAGTTTATATAGTGGATATATGCCGTAGACTCGATTACTAGTGAATATTCCCCACTCAGTGCTTCAACAAAGATCAAAAATCGACCAGTCGACCATTTTTTTCTCGATCCACGCCGCATACCCGGTTAAAATCATTGCGGTTATGGTAGGTACGCTGTTTCCAAGCGAGTTTTTCTTGGGAACGAACAGGTGACAACGCCCGGTAACTTGATCAATTTTTCTTGGCTGGAGAAAGTTTGATCATTAGATAGACCTATTTGTGCGAATTTTTTCTTTATCCGAGAAGATTATACCACCGTCGATGGAAACAGCTGATACAATCACCTGCCGTTATCATCAAATTTGTTCGCTCATAAAGAATAATCAAGATCGTTAAGAAAACAGAGCATGAACGTTGTGTTCGAGAGGCAGTCTTGATCGCAGAGTCTCTTTGAAATTTACCGTTACTCATTGACGTTGATCATAGCTCGACCGTTTCCGTTGTTCTTATCACTCTATAGCCGCGAAAGAGCGTTGCACTGAAGCGCGGTAAACACCGGCGCGAGTTCGATTATTAACGCGAATTTCGTGTCAGTCGCGAGACGAGTGGAAAAATCTGTGCTGGCTATATTTATCGTTTAAACACGGTGGATAACGAGCAGGAAATATTTTGGACGGGATTTTCATGCGGATCAGATATACTATTTAATCTGAAAATATATCTTTTAATAGGCAAACTGGGTAACTATAGCTTGCACATATTAATAGTACACCTAGAAATAGTGTACGAGGTTATACAAAATTTAGACGAAACGTTTTTTATGTTTACAGCGAATACCAGTCGAGAATCACTGTCGATGAATTTATCACTGCTCAAGATCGATAAGTAGATAAGAATTGATCGGGAATATCCACGAATTAAAAACAATCATGGCATTAGCGAGGATCAAGAGTTTCATAGATACTGGTTTCAAGACTGTGTCCACTCCGTTGGATCGCACGGTGAATCTGGAGCCGGAAGTAGGCATTAAAATCGTTCATTCGATCAACGAGAAAGCTCTGCACGTGACGGTACTTGGTGCTCGTCACTTGCCGCAGAATTTCGGCTTTACTCGTGTCAACAGCTACGTAGTCAAGGTAGTCATGGGTTAGATACTAATAATCTCTCTGAATTGTTATCTAACATTACGTAACTCGAAGGAATCATCGCGCCCACTTCGTCTTTATTGACTCACGAACCTTACAAGACAATACCACTTTATGGGAATCTGAGTTTTCTTATCTCTTTACGATGCATTTAAAATATATTAATTACAATGGTCAAATGGAAGTTGAGATTATTTTTATGCATTATTTTTATTTTTATATATTTGGTATTTCTTACATTTGAATTTGTCGATTAATTCGAAAGGAATTTCAAAGTGAATGGATTGTGCGTGATTCCTAAATTATTTGTGAATCAATATTATATTGATAAATTTTGTACGAATAATTTTCACGAATTATATCATTTTTTATTATTGGATTAATTACTGCTCGCTTCATTATTCTTTATATCTAACAGAAAAACTCGTGCAGGAAGGAAAGTAAATCGTTTCTATTCCAGGTGAAGTTAATACCAGGAAAGGAAAAGTTCGAGACAACGTCGAAAAACGAGTCGTGGCCGCAATGGAACGAGGAATTTACGTTTCACTTGCGAAAAGAAACAAAACAGAAATTTGGTAAAACGAAAGTGATCGAAGAGGAGATAAGCGGTTCCAGATTTATCGTCGCGACTTTATACGCGATTCTCGAGGATAAACCATTAATAGCGACTGAGAAGAAGGAATCCGAGAAAGAGAAAACGTCGCCCACTAAAGAATCCCCTAAGAAGAGCAACAAGAAAAAAGATGGTCAAGGTGCTTCCACGGAGAATCAGGAGCCAACGAAGAACAAATTACTCAGTCAATTTTTCGGCAAGGGAACCGATAAATCCGTGGAAACCGCAACTCCAGAAAGAAAATTGTTTGATAAGAGGCGAACTGTAGGCGCCACAACGATTTCCTTGGATCCGAAGAACTTCACTTCGAAGCCACCCAAAGCTAAACATCCAAGCGACGTATCGACAGGAGATATGTGGAGACCATTGCGACCGATTGCTAGTGGTATTTCTGGAGCTGAAGAAAGAGTAAATCATCAGAAATTTTAAAATATCATAAAATTTTTATTTATTATTAGATATTATAAATGTTAGTATGTAATCCGGTTATAGTTTTAATAAGTTTTAATTATCTTCATTGTTGTTACAGAAGGAAAATAAGAAAGGCCAAGTCGAGTTGTCACTGTGCCAAGAAAAGGCCGATAAGAAAGAGGAGGGTAGCGAAAAACTGATACTGTCCCTGCATCGTCTGAGATGCTCGTTACAAACGATGCACGAGCATGAAGCCTTGAAAGGACAGATGTATATTAAGATGTCCGTGGTAGATGACGGTAGAGTGACTCATTTTTGGAAAAGCGATCGTTTTGCGCCATGTGTGTCGATGAAATTTTCGCCGGAAATGGCTAGAGTGATTGCGGATAATCCGTATCAGGGAGCATTGAAGGATGTTAGCTTCGTTGTTAAATTCGTCTCGAAGAATAAATTAGGTGAACCATCTTGGTGGAATTTTATTGCAAAAATTTTTATGAATTATTTATTTACTAATCTTGAACCTTATCATTTTAGGAAAGAAAACAACTGTTGGTCATTTTGTGATCGGACCAGATGTAGGAGGAACTTACGGCGAACAATGGAAACAGGCTTTAGCGAAATCAGGACAACAAATAACGAAATGGCAGTCATTCGAGTGAGAATGAGAGAAAATAGATCAATAAACTTATCGAGCATTCTTGGCTCGACTTTTACTCATAGTTTTCCTTCGACCATAAACCTACTTTCAACCTGTGCGAATATTATGAATATTTGAGCACATGGTCGATAGTGCCGTTCCAAAGAATACTTAGGCAAACATCTGTGGATACAAAAGGTATATATTATAAGCTATTTCTCTTGCGAAATTTATTTTGCTTAGTTTTCCATTATTTTTTATCTATTTCTTCTCCTTGTGACATTTTCTAATGGAAGACAAGTTGTACAAGAATTATGCATCTGTTTTATTGTATGATACGCATTTATGTATACATAATGTATTGATTCTTTTATACCGTCCTCGATTCCAAGGCAGAGAAATCGCAAAAATTTCTGCCAAGAATCAAAATAATAGAACCGTCCAATAAATTAGTATCTGCCAGTTTTGAATAGATAAAACTAGAATCCTTAGGCTGAAATAAAATTCCAGGTTATTAGAGAGTCCGAGTTAGAAGTTATCTCTGAAAGAAGAAAGTAAATTTTTGTGCCAGATCGCGACCAAGTAATTTTTAGCTGTTAAGTAAGTTACGATATAATGCAGATGTAACAAAGCGCTTTTGTTCTATTTACTACTAAATTGATCTTCAATTTTACATTAAGATAGATCATTAAATCAATGGAAAGTATTTTTTTCGTCATGTATAAAATAAAGTATTTTATATTATAATAATACTCGATGTTACTTTTAATGATAATAACAATATGTATTTGCTCATCTTTTCAATTATAATTTTCTTTGATCATATTATATCGTAAATAATTAAAAATATTAAAGTAACGTTTATTAAGAACTATTTATATTATTGTAATTAATTGTACATGTATTTTGTAACAAAAATTAATTATATAATTCAACAAATATTGTTAGAATCAATATACAATCACACCAAAAAATCTGTATGTACAATATAATGTTTTTGTATAACAGAAATATATTTTAATACACCTGTTATATAAAGGATGATTTTTATTTTTTTTACGCATAATATTTTCCATGTATCTTTATTTAATTCTTTTTATCATACACATGTACAAAATGTATAAGGAATGATGCATTATGCGGGCAATGATTTTATTTTTGTGACATTTAATAATTAACCATGTTTTCAGAAAATGAATACAAAAATACAAAAGCACAATTGTTTTATGCTAATACTAAATGGTTTAATAATGGACGGAATTTACAGTCTTATTTATATTGCTATATATGCTAAATGTTAATATAAATTCAATATATTTGATTAATATAATATTTATTTTTTTGTACTAAAAAAATCTAAAATGTAAATATAATACAAACGTATATTTTTATATTAAAATGTATATTATATTAATAAAAATATATTTCTATAAAATATTACAATATTCTGAGAAAAGATAAAAAGATATCTAAAAATTGCCTTAGAGTATTTTGTTCATTATTATCTCTCTCGTAAGGCACAAAATGCTTATAAAATGCTACTTGATTATATGAAATGATTTTTCAATTTTTTCTAATGTCAATTTCAATAGTTTGAAGTGATATATATTATTTCCCTGAAGATCATATTATCGAAAAGAATGTCATTAGTAAGTACAAATGAATGTTTATATTATAAAAAAAATATGTTCAAATATATATCCTCTAATTAGATCTAAAATGTAATCTTTGGTCAAAAACGTTAAGTATAAACAAGTGCATATCTTAATGAAATTGCTAACACTATAATAGAAACAAATATGCTTCCATGATTATATGAGGCTGTATTACAACCATCTTTACTGTTACATGTACAATATTCCATAAATATATTATATGTTCCTGTTCTCATAAGGCAAAATCTTTCATCGCCACCAATTCCTGGTTCCCCCATGTAAGCACAACTACGAAAATATCTCCACACACCATTGACTGAGAATAAAAATATAATTTAACTTATAAAAATTATTTCAAAGTTTACCTTATTACATAAAATTATTAACACACCTTTTTGACGAATTTTACGACACATAGTAGGTCTCACACCTGGCAAATGTTCTAAATCAGGTTCTTGTTTGCAATCAGTTATAGGCACAGTAGTATTATCAAATGGATCTGCACATTTTGGATCTGAATCAGATCTGCATACCCAGCATTTGATAGATAATCCTATAAAAATATATAAAAATAATTAAATTACTATTTGTTTACAATGATAAATTTATTTCATATAATAAAATATTTCTATATTTTTATATTTCTATATTTTTCTATATTTTTATTTATTTTATATATATATATACTAAATAATTATGTTATTATAATTGGTTATAATAAGATATTATAAACAATATTTGAATATTTTATATAGTTGTTATTCTTGTAGTGTAATAAATTAAATTATTTTCAATATTTAAATTTCACGACAATTTTGAGGTTAAGATCATAAAACTAAATGATCGACTTTAAATAATAATATTTACCTTCTTGAATGCAACAAAAAAAGAATAATATTGCTAATAAAATAGAAAAATTTGTTTCCTTGACCATTCTTTCAGGAATTGGAGATCACTTAATAAGAACTTTCACACTCGCAACAAACCGTAACGTTTAATTACTCCAACTACCCACGCCTACGAGTGACCACGCCACTAAACTCACTGTTGTCGCGTCACAGTAATTTTGCTATTTCATATGAAATAAAAGAGTTTAATAACTTAATTTTAAATAAAAAATAAAAAATTTACTAAATTTTAAATTCATAAATTGTATAAATTTTATTAAAAATTAAAATAATACGTAAAATAAATTTAGCACAATTATATTATAATAAACGCATAAAAATTTTGACTGATCAAAATATTTAACATATATTACACATGAAATATAATAAATATTATATTAATGAAAAATAAAATAAATTAATGTTAGAATATCATATTTTATACGCTACTGAGTATTTCGTACGAATTCGTCTTCTTTCGGATCACATGACTAAGTCTCGAATCGAGACCGCGCCCGATATGTGAGACATTCAATGAATACAGTCTTAATTTAATAATTGCAAGTCCAGGCATGAAAGAATGCATCGTTAAACAACGATTAATATATCAATTAATTGAAATGCACATTATGTACTTGAACAATAATACGATCTTTTGATTTGATTTGACAAATGTTATTGATCTATTATAGATACAATACTATGAAAAGATAGAAAAATATTTATATCAATTTTCAACTTTTAATTGACAAATTTTCGAAAATTTGTTAAATCTTCGAAAAAAAATTTTCAAGAAGTTAAAAATTTTTAGATTTTTAATATATCTGAAATTTTTTAAATTTTTGTTAAATAAATATACATTTTTTCATTATCATAATTTTAAAAAATACTACTAATCTTGGACAATTAAATTATATCGATTTTTATCTCATCTGTAAAATAAAAGTATACGAAATTTTGTGATCCGCAACAGAATCAATTCTCTTTTGCGGGTGGTCCACCAACAGAACAAGACACAGCTTGGGAAAACATTTGAATGCTATAAATAAATATAAATAAATTGATTTGCCGGCATTAGCATAAGTAGCCGAGAGAGCCTCGACTCTCCTGTCTGCGGTTTGTGTCTCTTCGTTGTCTACCTCTTTCCTTCTCTCTCGCTCTTATTAACTGAGACGTTGATTTATACACCGATGTCCCTTAGGTTCCTGCGACATTCACCGTCTCTTTAACTTTAAAAGGATACGGGTCTTCGCGATTGCTCGCGTGGGAATTAATTCTGAAACCATTCGATTCTTCCACCGAGCACGATGCTGTTTCAATTAAACGATAAGAACCAGTAAAATATTCAAGTTAACGCGTATGGTATAATTTTGTGACCATCAATCCTTATAGGTCGATGTTTCATCACGGGTGTTGATGTTTCCGAAAAAAATAAAATAAGAAAATGCTCGTGTTCTTTATCAAGGCCAGTCCAAAGAAGAAAAACGATCTTTATTTCTGCTATAAAATCAGCCGACAAGACTCTCTCCTCGAGATTGGCTTTTTTACCTAAAAATCAGGTAATTTCGTGTAATCTTCGCAAAGGTTTGGGCGTGGCCAAACCGCAAAGATACTCTGCTAGGAAACCGGTGCGATGTGTGTCATTAAACCGAATCTTCCAAACGACCCTGGCCTATCTTTCTCATCCCGCTGCTGAAAGAATGGATCTTCGAATTACGTGGTTGCGTTAAAAGTCATCTTCTTGATTGATATTTCGCAAAATTGATATTTCCAAACAACATCCTCCCATTACCTGACGAGAAGAAACGTTCATTAGTTTATTAAGCGTTCAATGATATGAAAGAATATTATTAATCGAGTGATACACATACATTCCAATATTTTTCTATATTTTTATCTAAAAATTACAATCGTCAATGAATCATTCTAGTTATTTTTAACCGCAACATCATTATGCTTCCATATTCGTCTCGTATTATCGTCATTTCATAAGAGATACGTAACGATCGACCTATATCCTTCGATTATGTCTACAGTTCTATAAAGAAACATTTAAATACATTCTACAGTCGTAACCTTTCGATCTTTCCTCTCAAGTAATTCTAAAACATTAACCTAAATTGGTAACGACATTTATTCGACGTTGAGAAAAACAAAAAAAAGTCACTTTCATCATCATCGTTTATGGATGATGACGACGAACGTTGTCCTTATTAGAGACAAACGTAACCCTTTTCCAATGTCCATCTTCGGCGACTCGTGTATCCATATCGTGTCCCCTGAACGTGGTCTTCTTCGTCCACGAAGGATTCACCAAGAATATCCCCTATCAGAGATCTACCCCACCACTGTCTGCTCCCGCAGAATCACCCTCCACTTCCGCTTCGCTTGGTAGCCACTCCTCTCAACCTCTGTTGATACTTCCTCGCGCGTGTATCTCGTCAGTCGGCTTGGAGCCACGTGCGTGTGCTCGAGAAGCTCCAGCATGCTAGTGTCTTTTCGCTCGTTCACGATCGAGTTTTCATTTCATGTTCGTTAACAATATATCGACGAAAGAGTTTCACAAAGAGAATCAATTAGCAAAAGCATTCGTGTGTGTGATAAGAGTGATTTTGAAAAAAAAAGGAATCGATTTTTGAAGAAGTGGATGGAAGAGTATGTCAATTCTTTCGAGTTTTCAAGTCAAAGAATTAGCTACTCTTGTGATTAAGGAGAATTTGAAAGAATTACAGAGTGCGATTAAAAATATTAAAAAATTTTAAGTACACACAACGAATAGCCAACAACTTATTCGTTGGATCGGAAAGAACCACGCCGTCTCGACAGTGCGTCTAAAACGACCAGGAAACCCAAACTTGAAGATAGATGGTGGAGGGAAGGAGAACTAAAAATATCGGCCGTTGGCACGCCGTTGGTTTGCTGTATTTCAACTTGAACAATTTTACCAGCTGGAGAACGAGTCGTTGGGTCGCTTGTAATCCTGCTGAGAGGTTCCAGACGTTGATCGAAGTCGAAGCGGTGTGATCCGCTTCCTCTGAGCGATCTGTCCACAAGGACATTTATCTCTAACCGTTAAGGACATTATCGTTCGTTATCGTTTAATAATCTTACCTCGAAGAAGAAGCTTTTTTTTCCCAAAAGCTTAAAGATAATGGACGATGTCGGTGCAGAAGATCGATAATCAATATCCCGTTCCGATGAAGCATTCGATCGATTGAATCCGATGTATCTTGGCAACATGGACATGTCGGATAAGGTAAGTGTATATTCCTCCTCGTGTTGTATCGCGGAATTCTATCAGATTTGCTTTTGTTACGCGTCGAGTAATTCGATAAGAGTAATCGAACGTTGAACGGTTTCGTGACCAGAACACCTTTTTCGATTCTTCGATGAAATAGGAGAAACATATGCCGTGAATGGTATCCACTTTCGCGTTACATAAAGAATCGTAATGTGTACACCGCTATTTTGCATCGGGGCCCGTAATATCCTGGTGTCTTTTCGCCCGAGGAACGTGCCTCGCCACCTGTATCCCACACGTACGCTCTTTCTCGCGAGATCCTCCTACTGTAATCCTACACACTCGGCTATTTCCGGTCGAGACCATCGATTCAATGACTCGTCAAGTTCTTTCCACCGTTAAAGCTCACAAATCAACTTATTTGCTGATTATTAATTTCCATTCGTATTCTCTTAAGGCATAAATAGATTATTTAGAATGAACGACTGAATTGAGACTTTTGTTTTCGATATTGCACGATATATCTAATTTTTAAAATGATTATGAAAAGAATCATATATATATAGTAAGTATACGTTTTTATTGAGTAAATAATAATTTACTACGAGCCAATAGTTCATTGGTACAATTAACAGGGAACTGGAAACTGATTGCGCGACTGAACATTTTTCTCCATTTTAATTGTAGCCCTTAAGTTCCACGGTATCTCAACGATTCGAACAACTTCTTCTTTTAACAAAATATCAAATTCCATCGCAAAATCCATACTAATTTTCCTCCTGTAAGAGAAACGTAAGAAACGTTAGCCAGAAGCTTCGAGCCTTCCATCAACTCGTTACAGGGTATTACGCGAAATTAACAAAGCAAAAGCGAGTTAGCTGGCGGCCTCAAGCATCCGGAAAAACGCTAATAACACGCTTCTTTTCCTTGATCGATGGTTTCAGGATCGGCAACAGAAACGAGAGCAGAAATCTCGGAAGCTTTGAGTGGTCGCTTTTGATCGATGGGATCGATCCAATAGCATCTACGAGAGAGAGAGAGAGAGAGAGAGACAGAAGAAGAGTTTAACCCCTCCTCGTGTTCTTCTACTCATGGTGTTTTATGGCGAGCTCGTTTGAGATTCTTCGCGTGGAGTCGCGGACGTATTTATAGAGCCGCGCGCGGACTCGCGAGTTCACGCACGTAGAATCGCGCGCGCACCTTCTCCTCCAGGAGGAGGAAAAAAGAGGAAAGAAGAGGTGGTGAAGGCGCGGGAAGGAAAAGGAGGGCGGTGGAGAAGGAGGGAGGGAGGATAGGGAGTGCGTGAAACAGAGAGGGAACGAGAGGACGAAAGCGTCGACGGAGGGACGAGAAAGGGGCACGTTGCGATCATGAAGCGATGCATCCGCGACAGGAGCACCGG